GAGTCAGACGTGGATCAAGTAGACACAGTGTGTAAACTCTGCTACAGTGTCGTAGCTGCACCACAGAGCAACACTGCAAAGTTCACTAAACATAGATGTTTACATTTTTCATTTATTTCTTATATTGCAAACATTTGCACTGTTATCAGTATTTGCACTATTTTATATTATTTTTTGACAATCTTTAAAGTCATTATTCAACACATTGTTATTGTTAAATAAATATCGTCAAATAATCGAGATCTCAATTTCAGTGAAAATAATCGTGATTATCATTTTTGCCATAATCGAGCAGACCTAACTTAAAGCGACTCACTACCAAAGACCAAAGCACTCTTATCTTTGATCAAGTTGCACATTTTGATATAAATTTGTGGCATTTGCGACAGATCATGGAGGGTTTGGGTCAGAGCGCGAGCAGGCTGAAAGTGTTGTCGATAGATGGATGACGGGGATTGAGTTGCATGTTTTTGCCTCAGTTCGGAGGACCATCGCTGGCTCTGCTGAATCTGAAACCCCCAAAAAGAAGTCTGCTCAGATTTCCGTCCTGTTGGCTGAAGCCTGCTGCTTTCGTGCCGTTTACCTCGAAAGCAGAAGAAGGATTTATCTGCTTGCAGCTGCACAGACCTGAGTGTTTAATGTGCTGCCTTTCCTCAGGGACACCTCGGGACAGGGGAGGTTCTGCACCATCTTTCGCTCGTACTCCCGCGGAGCTCAGGTGAGGAGCAAACAGCTGCATTCATTTAAATGCTGCTGGAGTTTGCACGCTGACATCGTTTGTCTCGCTTCAGGGGATCCTGCTGGTGTATGACATCACCAACAGGTGGTCCTTCGACGGCATCGACAGGTGGATCAGAGAGATCGATGAGGTGAGCGTTTGAGAGTTTGGCTTTGTTTCTAATGAATCCAGTCTGACCATGTGACCCACATTAGCATAAAGAGTTTGCACACACTTTGAGCCTGGTTTCTTTTCTACATCATGTCCTGCTGTGTTTAACATTTTTATTTAGTTTTAATTTATGCTCTTACTTTGATTTCAGATGTAAACAGGTGAGTTATAAAAACATTCTCCTCCTGTACTGTTGTTATGAAGGAGAAATTATCTGTAGAGACAAAAGCGTTTCTGTGTCAGGCTGTAAACATGTTTATTTCTGTCGGGAGTCTCTGGGGACGACTAACTGCTGGAGCCTCTGCTGGACGTTAGAGGAACTGCAGCTTTTCTTGGACTCAAAACGAGTCCTTTATAGAGATTCCTATAAACAAGCCGTAACACAAACCAGTGAACAAAAATAATATATGAACATCTAAACGTATATTCAGGCAAATCTGGTGCAACATTTGTTGCAGAAAATTGGCGATCAAATATTTGAATGTAATCAGTTTACAGCCAGCAAACTGTCATCAGTTTTCATCTGTTTATGTTTCGCCTTGCAGAGATTCTTGAGTCGACTATCTCGTTTTTATTTCTGTCCTTAAAAGCGTTTGATTCTGTGGAGGTGGAGCAGGAAAGGCCAAACGGGAACACACATTCCAAAGGCCAAAAATACCAACACACACACACACAGACAAAGAGGACATCCTCTTTGTTTCCGAATCATCAGGAAGGACACACACATACAAAGGCTGTATTAAGTAACTCACTGCTTACTCATATATGTTTTCTCAGCATTGAAGTTAAAGTGTAAGATTAAACTAATCTAAGATAATCCCTGCAAGATGAAAGATAAAATATAATGCTGCAGGAACAAAAGAGGAAAGAAAAAACTGTAACACAGCAAAGTGTGCAGGGATGATTATGCAGGAGGTCCCTGATAGACGTTCAGCTTTAAAAAGAAGTTTAAAATATTCAGATTTTCTGAAAGTCTGCAGTGCATCTAATGCAAGTCCTGAAATCCCCAAATCTGTGATGCCTACAGCTACCAGAGTAGTTACAATAACATTGTAGACCAATCAGCTCCTGTGCTGTGTGGATTTGCAACTTCTGGGTAGAGGTGGGAATCACCATACATCCCACGATACGATATTATCACAATACCTAACGCACGATACGATATTATTGCA